GGCACACGGGGCGGCTCTGGCGGAGCTTGTGCTGCTGCGGGAGGGCACCTGGCCCGGCCCAGGACGTGCCTTTCCCAAAAGAGGCCGTATATAAGTCCCGCCTGAGATGAGTACAAAAGCATCGTTTACGAAGCAGTAGAACTAAAGCAGCCGGTTTCTCGGCTCTGTGGGCCCGCCGTGCAGCACGGAGAACCTTACCGGGAGACTTCTGAAAGTAAAAAGAGCTTGTCAGGGAAGCGAGCCTTCCTCCAGGGGCACCGCGCTTTTGACTGGGAATTTACGAGGAGGGTACGTCCAGCTGCGGAGGGAGCTTCGTCTCAGAGCAGGGCAGCGCCCTAGGGAGGGTCCTCTGCGGCAGGGACCAGCTTGTGCTGGGCAGAGAAACCACACGCCTTGTGCTGCCCAGGCGGCGGCGGAGCCCGGCACACGGGGCGGCTCTGGCGGAGCTTGTGCTGCTGCGGGCGGGCACCTGGCCCGGCCCAGGACGTGCCTTTCCCAAAAGAGGCCGTATGTAAGTCCCGCCTGAGATGAGTACAAAAGCATCGTTTACGAAGCAGTAGAACTAAAGCAGCCGGTTTCTCGGCTCTGTGGGCCCGCCGTGCAGCACGGAGAACCTTACCGGGAGACTTCTGAAAGTAAAAAGAGCTTGTCAGGGAAGCGAGCCTTCCTCCAGGGGCACCGCGCTTTTGACTGGGAATTTACGAGGAGGGTACGTCCAGCTGCGGAGGGAGCTTCGTCTCAGAGCAGGGCAGCGCCCTAGGGAGGGTCCTCTGCGGCAGGGACCAGCTTGTGCTGGACAGAGAAACCACAGACCTTGTGCTGCCCAGGCTCGTCTTGGGCCGTGGTGTTCACACAGAGCCTGCTACCTGTGCCCATCTTCCCCAGTGCTCTGCCTGCCTGGGACTTGGCAGCTGGGAGGTGTGGGAGCAGGAGGGCAGGAGTGCTTTCCTACACTCTGGGCACAGCCCTGCTAAGGGGCAGGGTGCGTGCGTGGGCAGGGAGCTCTGCAGGTGAGTGCCCGAGGTGGAGGACAGGTACACGCAGGGACAGCATCTCTCAGGTTCTGGGCACAGGAGAGCAAGCAGCTTCTGCTTTTCTGAAGTGCAGCACTTTGATTTGATGTGTTGGGTGCAGCGGTGGCATCCCAGGAAAGGGGTCTGGGAAATAGTTTTTGCTTAAGCAGGGTTTAGATTTGAAATGTTTGCCTGCTAGAGGTAGGTAACTGACACGTTCATTTCATTAATTTAAGCATCAGCAACAGACATACAAAATAGGTTATTTATTTTTTCCTTAAAACACAAATCATTAGGTTTTTCTCCTGCGACATCCATTCAGTGATCTGACCCGACAGGTTCTGTTTGCGTCGATCAGGTGTGTTGTTTCAACAACGGGCCAAAATATTTTCTATTTTACTTTCAAAACTAACAATTATTTTTAAATAAAATAATGGACTGTTCATCAATACTACTTTAGGGTTTCCTTTATTCAGTTTCAGTAAAGCAAAATGGGTTGGTATCACTTGAGCAGAGTGCCAACTGATGACGTTTATCTTTACTGTGTGTTTACTAGCTCTACTGCCTGTGAAGGTTCTTCCTGATTACCCCCTTTTTTCAAAAGGGTGATTTAATAACAGACTGAGTAAAGCATTTTAAATGGCAGTGCTGATCTGTGCTACGAACACACTGATGGTGGAATTATTTTTTTTAATTATTGTTACAGTCTTACACCCAGGTATATATAAAACAACTGTTCTTATTCCTCTTGAGAAAAAAAATAATAATAATCCAACAAATCAGACCACACACCTGTGTTGTTTCCATAGTGCTACTGCAGCACTAAGAAAAACTTGATTTTGACAATCTCAGATAGAGTTACTTAATGTAGTCTGTCTGGGCCCTAAGTCTTGATGAGTCAGTCATGCATAATAAATGATGATATCATAAAGATCATACTTCCTGGAAATAATTGATCCTAGTTAATTTGTTTTTATTGCATAAGCTCAGAAGGAATTGTAGGCATCAGGATTTAAATTAGCTGTATTAAAATCTGGGATTTTTAAAAAGTGTCTGAGGCGAGAAAAATAATGAAAGCCTGTATTGAAGTGTTGGATCACTGAGCAGTTGCTGGAGGAACACACACTAAAATATTTGGTTGTGTTTGCTCCCACAGTATCTGGACTAGTGCCAAAACCCCAAAATGCAACAATTATATCAAATAACCTTCGTAGCATTTTACGCTGGGATGCACCTCGGTTTCACAAGGGGAACCTAAGTTACACCGTCCGGTCTCAGAGGTAAGTCTGGGGGAGTTGTGCTTTCTTTAAGTCATACTTTACAGCTGCATGCATTTGTCATCTATTTCATTTTTTACAGGAAGATCAGTAGCTGTCCCTTTCTTATAGCTGGTGAGAGACTGACCTCAGAACTAAATAACAGGGCAGAGGCATTTTCTACACATTTCACACCCCAGGCAGCTTTGTATGTACTTTTTCTGTTTTCAACCAGAAACACATTTTGACTTACTAGCTGTGCGTGTGGTTTTTCCTCCATCATGTAGTTGTCACCTGCGCTTCAGGACACTTAGCCCTGCTGAGCCTGAGGACCTTACCTGGCGTTTCCCCCCAGCAGCAGTTTGTGCCCTGCCACCAGGGCAGCCAGAGTGGCTGCGCCCTCAGTGGAGATGCCTGATGCACTGCATGCGGGTGACTCACCCCTTCAGTGCCTTCAAGTTAGGGCACATATTCTGAGGTCTTCTCTTGTCAGCTTTGGGGGATTAGTTTAGCTTTGCTTTGGTTTTGCCACCGTGTCCTTCCAAGTTGGTCTTTCCTGCCTGGAGGAGCAGCCTGTGTGGCTGTACTGAGGAAGGCAGGTGCTTCCCCAGCCCAGCAATGGGCTCCCAGGCTGTTGAGGAGACAATGTGCTGGGCCAGAGGTCCAGCCTTCCTCCTGAAGGCTGAATTCTTTGGCAAAGGTGGGGTAGGACGTAAAACGGGGATGATGACACCCACAGGCAGGTGCCTGCTAAGGAGAAATCCCTGCAGTGAGGGTACAAGCCATTCCAGTACAAGATTTTTCCGGATTCTGGTGGAATTTACCTCTTGGTAGCTATGTTACTAGGTGGGCTTTTAATGCAAAACAGGAAGGATATCGTATATTAAATGGTTCCCAGTCAGCTGTCAGGCTTTATTTGCTCTGGGTTTTCCTTATGTGCATATATGTAAGGCAGTTCTGAACAAAGTCCAAGTTAAGACAGCAAAGCTGTGCATAGTGATATTGTGTTAATACCAGTTAATATCAGACTTGGCTGACAACTACTGTCTGTTGAATCTTGTTTTGTAACCACTGTCAAGGGAAGGGCATCTATTTACTCAGTCATAATTTTAGTACCTAACTTTCTCATAGATAGATGCCTATAAAATGCTTAATGTGTGTATACACACTAGTTATGTTGTTTCTCATACCTTTGATGTAATTTTTCTTGTTCATGAGCCGTAATTGGATATATTAACAAACAGATATGCCACTTTCCTAGTTAACTGAGAGGAAAGACATGTAGTCAGTTGTAATTTACACATCATATACATTTTGTTTCTCTTCCATACAGCATCAATTTCCCTGGAAAGACATATGAAAATATAAGCACAAACTTGAGAGTCACAGAGTGTGATGTCTCTTCTCTGTCTGCATATGGAGACTACAATTTACAGGTCAGAGCAGAGTCAGGAAAGAAACATTCAGACTGGGTGACCATCAGATTCAAGCCAATGGATAACAGTAAGCCTTTTTCTAATCTTCCACCAAAAAAAATATTGTCTGTTTTTAATTAACTTTACAGTTTGGCTCTCTAAGAAAAGCTAGGTAGTTTTGAATATAATAACATTGAACTATAAAATCTTAGTTGTAACACCTTCATTTTTTCTAAAGCAGAAGTTGCTGTCAGAAATCATAGTAGGTTCACTGTGACAGTAGATGTTAGTATTGGTAATTGACACATTGTTTGAGGAGGCTTGAAAAAAATGTTATTTTTCCCTTAAAATTAGGCTTTGTTTTAATTTTTCAGCCAGGGAGAGCTTTTCTTCAAGGATTCAGGCTTTCTGTATATCTACATAAGTTCAATTACTTTCTTTTTAATTGCTACGTCAGGCAAAAATCTCTCTTTTTTTTTTTAATTAACAAAAAAGCTTTACAGTATTGTCTGTGAGGTGAGGTAGGCATTGCCTTCCATTAGAGTGCACAGGAGAGATGTTAAATACGTTGCTCTCACCTGAGCCTGGGAATGAGGGAAGGGTTTTTACCAATGAGCATCCTTTATTTTGTACGTTCATAAGCATTATGAATAATTTTGCCACTCATAAACAAAAATGAAATTATTTTAGACTGTGTTGTTAATATTACCCAAGGCCTTTTTCTCCTGGGCACTATATATACAAAACCATGCAGGAAGCTTATGTTAGACCTCTTCTTTAAGAAAAACTTTTTTCAATCCTTTTTTCTTTCTTTCTTTCTTGTTCTTCCTTCATTTGCTTGAATTTCATCATTCTGTTTCTTGGATTTCAGAGTGTAATCTTGCAGCCTTGTTTTTCAAAATGCTTTAATTGGTTATCTGCCTCCAAAAGCATAATATTGACATAATGTAATCTGCCTAAAACAGAAACACTGAAACATAGCACAGAAAAACAAAAAAATACAACATTGCAAGTATAAATTACAGTTAAAAAAAAAAAAAAAGTGTAACACAAAAGGTATGGATGGATTTTCAGAGCAAAGAGCAATCATGTAAATGATTAACAGAGCTGTAGTTTGTCATGTATTTGAAAGAGCACATGGCCTTCAGAGCAGGCTTGGCTTTGGAAAGGCAGCTTATTCCTGAACTGAGAAAACCTGGACATAAAAATGCCTGGAAAGGAAGACCTGGGAGAACTGGCCAAATCTCTGAGGAAGACATGAGGATTTTTAATGTTGTCATAGCTGATCTGAACAGGGCATCATGATAAAAGTACCTGACATCTCTTTCTGAATTACTTTTTCTGCTAGTGCTTTTTTAAGAAATTTCACATTGTGTTGTAGGAATAGCCTAAGAAAAACAGAGTAACTAAGACCCTCCTCACACTATTTTTCACAAGTTCAACAGCTTTTTCTTGAGCATGACATGAATACATGGTCCAGCAATTCGATTTTTTTAAAATCTATTTTAAATTAAAGGAAAACGTACTTCTAGAGGAATGTAAAACTGTCTGTATATGGAACTCTTTCTTCCTTAAACACTTGGCAGCATGGCTGTAGGCCAGACAGAACTTCAGTAGAAGCAGCCAAGGCGGAGTTGTTTGTTGGAATTACAGGAGACTGTAATGGAAAGCTCTGCATAGTTGATAACTAAGCTACTCATTAATGAGCGTAGGTAGTGGCACAAAAACATAATAAGCCATGTTCAAAATATGATAATATAATATTCAGAGATTAATATTTAAGACATGCAAAAGTATTTAAAATACTTCAGTTGTTCAAAGTGATCATAATGAAATGAACATTAAATCACTTCACTAGAGAGTCTTCTCAGAAAAGACAGATGTTGCCACAGCTTGGTCCAGAAAGCGAAGTGAGTAATAAGCTCTGGAAACAGTCATTTCTCTCCAAGGAGTCACCACAGCTGGCAAAAGAGAACTGAGTTAACTTAGTGTATGGGAAATGCAGTCTGCAAAAATATCTGTTATTTAACAGCAAAAATATTTATTTATGCCTGACTCATAAAGGAGATTACTTTCTTCTAATAGATTGAATTATTTAAAGTGTGATTTATCACAGGTTGTGTAAAAATGTCAAATTGAAAACATTGTGAAGCTGATTTACATTCTTTCTTCTCTTCCACCATTCTAATATATAGCAACCATTGGGCCACCTGATGTAAAAGTGAAGTCTGACACTGGGTCCCTGCATGTGGATTTCATAGGCCCTGTTGCTGAAAATGATCTTGAAAGGTGGCCTCTAAAGCACTATTATGGCTCGTGGAATTACAGAATACTGTACTGGAAGAAAGGCAGCAATAAAGAGGTAGCTTCTTCTTCCTACATGTTGTGACTGCATGACTGATAGATGCTTTTATTGGTAAAAATACTGTACTGATTAAGTTCTGAAAGCTGACACTACTGAAGTAAAAATGGATCGCTGCTGTCATTACAGTGTATTCAGAGGAAATGGTAGATAGCTGTGTAGTTAAACAGTAGCATGGATATAATTGCCTCTTCCCATAATTAGAAATAACTGCAGTGTTATGAGAGTTTATTCCCTCTGTTTAGTGGTGATTCATTTGTGATGCACTCTGTCCCACCAAATCTCTGTATTTCACACATACAAGTAACTTAGAAGCTGTAACATCAACAGTATCTGTGATCATGGTGATAAGTTGACTTTGATTAAAATCTCATGATATTTAAGTATTTGTGCTTTTCATGGGACTCTGGACGTTGAATACCACCATGCTGGGGCCTTGTATGAACTGTGGTCACCTTCATTTCTTCAGTTTCTATCAGCTGTCATTTGCTTTCTAACTCTTGTGGACAACCTCTTCCACAAACAACATTAAGCTGACCAAATACATAAATCAATTTTAAAATTAGATTAACTGTGCTGGATCAGATACTCCATCAAAGACTATTAAAACATCCTAGCTCACATATAGATGGCTATCACAGAGTCACCAAGGCTGGAAAAGACCTTTATGATCATCAAGTCCAGCCTCTGACCTAACACCACCACATTGGCTAGACCATGGCACTAAGTGCCACATCCAGCCTTTCCTTGAACACATCCAGGGATGGTGCCTCCACCACTTCCCTGGGAAGTCCATTCCAATGTCTAATCACCCTTTCTGTGAGGAAGTGCTTCCTAATATCCAACCTAAACCTCCCCTGGAGCAGCTTCAGGCCCTGCCCTCTTGTCTTGTTGCCTGGAAAAAGAGCCCAGCCCCCACCTGACTACACCCTCCCTTCAGGTAGTTGTAGAGAGTGATAAGGTCCCCCCTGAGTTTCCTCTTCTCCAGGCTAAACAACCCCAGCTCCCTCAGCCTATCCCTATAAGACTTTCCCTCTAATCCTTCCACCAGCCTTGTTGCTCTCCTCTGGACCTGCTTCAGCACCTCAATATCCTTCTTGCAGTGAGGGGCCCAGAACTGGACACAGCACTTGGGGTGAGGCCTCACCAGTGCTGAGTACAGGGGCAGAATCACATCCCTGCTCCTGCTGGCCACACTACTCCTGACACAAGCCAGGATGCCATTGGCCTTCCTGCTGGCTCATGTTCAACCAGTTGTCAACCAGTGCTCCCAGGTCCCTCTCTGCTGGGCTGCTCTCCAGACACTCTTCCCCCAGCCTATAGCACTGCCTGGGGTTATTGTGGCCAGAGTGCAGGACCCTGCACTTGGTCTCGTTGAATTTCATGCCATTGGCCTTGGCTCATCGACCCAGCCTGTCCAGGTCCCTCTGCAGCTTCTATGCTGTATATTTCTTTAGATAAACATCATCTTAGGTGTTTCAGAAGCTTAACAAATTTTATTACCTCTATCATAACACAAAAATCTGATGATCTTTCTTGGAAGTCTGCCTTACTTCAGTTAACTGACAGTTACTGCATGATAAGACTGTGCAAATAAAATATTATGATGACTCTCAGAAGACTGCTCCCTAGCAAATGCATGGAGAAAGATCTTAAGTAATATTTTAATTACAAGGTCATGAGTTCTATTACAGGAAAAAAGGAAACCCTTTACTGGAAGATAGGAGTCATGGTATAATTAGTGCTTTGTACGTCACTACAGTTTTCATATAATAGGATAATTCTTACTTGTATTTGTTACCCTTCAAAATTATTTGGAATTCAATTCCAGAAAATGAACGATCATCATTTCCCAAAAAACTGACTAGTTTTCAATACTCAAACTACAAGAATTTAAGGCATTTGTATTAGACACAGAGTGGCCAGCAGAACTAAGGCAGTGATTGTCCCCTGTACTTGGCACTGGTGAGGCTGCACTGTGTTCAGTTTTGGGCCCTTCACTACAAGAAGGACATTGAGATGCTGGAGTGAGTCCAGAGAAGGGCAACAGAGCTGGTGAAGCATCTGGAGGACAAGTCTTATGAGGAACAGCTGAGGGAACTGGAACTTATTTAGTCTGGAGAAAAGGAGGCTGAGGGGAGACCTTATTGCTCTCTACAGCTCCCTGAAAGGAGGTTGTAGCAAGGTGGGGGTTGGTCTCTTCTCCGAGGTAACATGATAAAACAAGCGGAAATGGCCCCAAGTTGTGCCAAGGGAGTTTTAGATTGGATGTGAGGGGAAATTTCTGCACTGAAGGGGTTGTCAAGCACTGGAACAGGCTGCCCAGAGAAGTGGTGAAGTCACCATCCCTGGAAGTGTTTAAAACACACGTAGATGTGGTGCTTAGGGACATGATTTAGGAGTAGATTTGGCAGTGCTAGGCTAATGGTTGGACTTGATGATCTTAAAGGTCTTTTCCAACCTAAATGGTTCTATAAATTTCCATAGGAAACAAAGAAGCAAAATGCACATACTGTGTAACTTCATAGTTGTTTTTTTTTACCTGGATGCTTGCTCAAAATGTTGAAACCTACCTGTAGAGTCTTCTCACCCCTAAGAAAGAATCTGTTAATATGTAATGCAGCATGTTGTAGGGATTACTGTACTTAGAGGGACGTAGCAAATCACGCCTCCAAACAGCAAGGTGCCTTTGCTGTTAGTCACCTAGTAGCTTCCACAAGCCTTTCTCTTTCTCTGTCTGTCTTCCTTTTGTCTAGATCATCCACCCTACTTGCTCCATCACAAATATAATTCAGTTTGTCTGTTACAATACTTTTAGTTTACCTCATTTGGTTAGGAAATTGTCTCCCTCTGCAAACAGATCTCCTTTATTCCATCTCTGCAGGCCTCTTTAGCCTGAATCATTGTTAGTGCTGCTAGAAGCAGCCAGAATATCACTGGTGTGGGTGGTCTCACACTCTAACCAGAGGTGAAATTAATGTAGTTTTATCAGGGCATTTCATTCTGCCTTTAAAAGCCTCATTCCTGTTGCAGCTGTTACTGCTAGGACTTCTCCTACTAAATGTCACTTTAATTACTTAGCTAGTCCATCCACTGGACTTAGGCTTTTCATATTTTTCTTCTCTGTTATTAGGTGACTCACACAGATACGAAACATAACTCTGAAATACTATCTCAGCTGGAGCCATGGACAATATACTGTATTAAAGTGCAAGCAGTTATCCCCGAATTGAACAAAACAGGGGAACTGAGCAAAGAGCTCTGTGAGCAGACAACCCACAATGGTAATACCTGCTGCATCACCATGGGACACATGCTGTAGAGAACTAGGAAATTTGCAAAGCCTTTCAAAAATCGGTGTAATATGTAAACCTTCCAAAAATGGATGTTTGTTACTATTGTTTGGTGGTTAATCACACGCTCCTTTGGAGCAGAGGAGTTGGAAACTCTGTGAAAACTACAAGCCATACAGCACCAATGGCTTGACACTTTACTTCTCTGTAGAGGCCTGAAAATCAGTTAAGTGGAGCACAGGCTCTGCACTGATCACACTTTGTGCCTGAATTTCTTCTTTTGCCATTAGCTGTATTCATTGTCCTGTGAAAGCCTCTATTCTGTAGATGTGTAACAGCAAGAGGAACTGGACCCTGTGTTGCAGGCTGCTTCATCTATGGCAATATTGCCAGTGCCTGTCATGAGGCTAGGCCATGATCTCTTTGTCTGTGACAGACAGCAGTTATGAATCAATAAAATAAATAATTATTTTGTCTCAATGCTTTCCTTTTCATTTTGAAGGCAGTTAAGTACCAAAAGCTCTTTCATTTTCAGCCATGCCACCTTAGCTGCTGTCTGTAGAGTCCAGCAATAACCACCATGTGGGCTGACCCTGTCATCTTAGCAGGGATCTTTATGCCCCTAGTTAAGACAGTCCTAGATATTGTCTTTTTCACAGGCATATTGTGTATTTCAAGTAACATCACTCTCTGATAACTTGTGGAAAATCAGAGACACAAGCTGATAAAGAAGTCTCCTAGGAAGGCCACTGGGTTAATATGTTTCTCCTATGCTTTTCCTCATAAAATGTTGCCTCATACATTTTTCCCACATGTCTATTACCTGCATGCACTGCAGTTGAGTTGCAGGTGGGTTTAGGTGGTGGTGTTGCTTGTTAGTTTGGGGCTAGAGCAGTGTCTAGCAAGCATAGGTTGGTTTAAAACATTTCTACAGTGATGTATGGATACATCTTCATTCCCATTGCCTGTTTCTTGAGTTTTTTTAAAGGCTCAGTAGTTTATAATTTTACAGACTCTTGTCCCCTGCTGTCTTTGCTGCCATTTTTACAGATGGCTTTATTTAAAAAGTGGAAGCCTGTACTTTGGCAGTGTTATGTGTCATCTCCTACACTCCTGGAACACCAAAGAGCGTACAATAGCTTTTTGCATAGTATTACCTTGTAGGTGTTCTGTTGGTCTTTTCTCCTTTAATAATTTGTCTAGTGTTGCATGTAGAGTCACCAGTGTGTAACTCTAAATGTCTCAATAGGATGGCTTGTAAGCTTGCTTTGTTGAGAACTTCCTTAGCCTATTCAGACTAAAAATTTTAAAGGTATTGAGGTATTTTGCATCTGGAAACAAAGACTTATGTCTGCAGTTACAGTTTTATAGTAGTTTGAGGGTTTTTTCAATTCTATAGAGATACTGCTAATTTGAAAATAATGAATATTCAGAGTTTTAATTCTTTTTTCTTGTGTCTTTCAGGTGTAACTCCTATGTGGGTAATTGTGGCTGTACTTACAGGATCAATGTTGGTCGTTGTAGTATCTGTTCCTGCTTGTTTCTTTTCCTTTTTTTACCTATATCGACTCACCAAAGATGTTTTCTGCCCTTCATATATTTTCCCACAACACTTGAAAGAGGTTTGTTTTCTACCTAACACAATTGAAATCAGCCTTTTCAGCAGAACTGCTTGCCTTTCAAAGGCTCTCTATGCCAAAACCTTTAAAGCTTCTTTCATTTGCACCTGATTGTTAGCAGAGTGCAGACTATTCTGAGGGGGTTTTAGACAATAAGGAGCAAAGCTGGTTATGTGTTGTTACAGAGTTGTTGTGTATGGTGAAACTCTTCTGCCAAACATAAAAAGTCATTCAGATAAGTGTGAATTATGAAGTTGTGAGCTTTGGAAAAAGCTGACAAAGGAAGGTACTGTTCAGCTTTAGGAAGGTAGAGGAAGTTAGTTAATTTATTATTTAATTTCAGGCATTATAAGGTCATAAATTTTGCGAGAGTGTTACGTCCATTTTTTTTCATCAAGTTCTGTGGCACTGCATAGGTGCTAGTTAGAAGCAGCGAAATTACGCTTCCTGTTTAAGGATGTCTAATAAACTCTGAAATACTGTAATTTTTAAATTTCTCTACACAGAATGGTCCAAAATATTTAAAAGCTGAACATTTCTAAAGCTTGGCATAGGCTTTGTTTCCTAATGCAACTGCAGAATTTGCCATATGAATCTTTACATGGCTTAGAAACAGGATGTTTTCTTTCATTTTTAAGTGAGAGAATAACAGGTGTTAACCTTCAGTTCCTCTTTTTAGGTAGCAAACAACTGAGTTATCTGTCTCCTGACACATTTTAGAGTTAAAACTGCACATCTGTTCTCCTGAAGCAAAGGTCTTTCACAAATACAATAATGAGTTTTAACAAGAATGTAGTGAAGTCTGAAAATTCAAGATAAAATGGGAGCAATGAATGTTAGCCATTACTGTTGGGTAATACCAGTGACCCTCTTACCCACAGGGCAACGTAAAAAGGCTGGATCAGAATCTCCTCCAAAGAACAAAGATATACAGAGTATTATTTGCTCTGCAGTTAGCAACCTATACTCTTCTAAGTTTCCTGAATTTTCTCCTGGATCTTTCATTTTGACTTACGTAGAGATCAGCAGACAAGTGCTTTGCAACTGACTTAGCTCTTGTGCTTGAAGTTGGGCACATGCTCAGCACACAGTAGCTTGCTGAACCTGGAGCTCAGCTATTGGGAAGGCAGCATTGCTCTCATCAACACAGGATGTGGTCAAATGGCCATTTTGCTCACAGATTTCTTACAAAAAAGGGAGAAATGTAATTTTGTGCTAGTGGGTTGTAGTGGTTAATCACAGTAATCAAAGGTCAGTCGTGCCTACTTACAATGATGTGTATCAAAAGCAGTGGTTTCACTATGTGAATATTTGAGATTGCAAGTTGCTGACAGAACATTTCAAATCACAGTTTGCTAGAAAAAAATCTGATAGTAATAATATTAGGTTGAGGGTTTTTTAATTGCAGTGAACAGGACTCCTGAAAGAGCAAGTTTCTTGGGTAAAATGCACTGAAGTAATAGGCAGGTGTCAAGTCACAAGAACAAAATGCAGTTGTAGTCCTCCAGCCACTACCAATAACATGAACTGGCACTTCAGCTGCCCAAACGACTGACTGGCAAATTGTCACTGTATTGAGTAGGTGTGCTGGTTTTGTGTTGACATTCAAAGTAGTCACGACATCCTGCAAAGTCCATGTTGATTCTTGAGGCTGGTTCCATCTTATCAGTAGAACAGGGAGTGGGAAGAAGTTGTGATATTTTGGTACTAAAATTAAATCATCTTTCTCACTGAGCTGCATACCCCTGCAAATCTCCTCCCTCTCTTTACTTGACTAAATGGTTATGGTTTATGTTGACATTTAAAACGCTGCTATTTGATGTCTGAGCAGCTCTCTGAGATGGCAGGAGCAATTTACATCTCCTGTACTTGACAAATCTCTCGGCAAACTCCTTCACCTACAATCAAGTCACCATTTTTATTTTTTCTTTCCAAACAAAACCCAGTTGTTGGTTTTTTGTGGGTTTGTTTTTTTTAAGAAAATTTATATTCCATAGAAGTCACTAACCCCGAGGTATCTTCTTGCAAGTAAAGGCACTGCAGACTTCCTTCCAAACCTTTTGCTGTTAAAGCAAGCAGAGAAGTTACTACATTGCTGCTTCTCTCTTTTTAAGGATTGAGGAAGTCTGTTGATGCATGGAAAACAAGAGGAGACGGATTCTGCAAATCAAACACAAACATAAATTGTGTATTCTTACTCTTCTTCCTTCACAGTTTCTGAACAAGCCTCCCAGTGGTTCGCAGTATTTTACTGCACTCCCACAAGAGCCCCACCTTTCTTATGACAAGCTAACTGTTATTTCAGAAGAATCCAAACATCAGAGTGATGAGACTGAGGGTGAGGCCAGCAAGAAAGGAGAGCATCTTCAGGACTCTGAACAAGAAGATTCTGATTCAAGAGTAATAGCAGCTTCAGAAATGGCCTAAATGCACTCATACCTCACTCAGACAAAAAAAAACAAACCCATTCTTAAGAGAGTAAAAAGTTATATACAAAGATGTACACACAGACTTTTGGCAGAGTTTTATTTTTTTAAAGCACAACAAATGTGACTATAAATGAATTAAATAAGATTTTTGCCACTGTTTTTGGTGGCTCTCTGTTAAGTTGTAGCAATACCTAGGACTCTATTATGACTTTATAAAAGGAAATACTGTATAGATTTAATACTAGTTAATTTAACTTTGATTATTTATTGCAAAAGCTAATCAAAATGGCATATTGTATGAGGTTTGTAAAAGAAAATAATACTTTGTAAAGAAAGATCTGATTTTTTTATTATTATTATTTTTTAAATGAGATTGTGTGCATTTCTTAAAGATATTCCTAGTGGCATAATCATTCTGTTGAATATTTTTGTACCTGATGCCAAATTGTAAAGTTTTTTTGGTGGTGTGAACTCCGTATGAATAAACCCAACACAAATATTCAGTGTGTTGTGCACTGCAAGGCATTACACATACATCATCACTAAGGAAAGTGGGAATGCAGCAGTGTACTGCCTGACAGCCCTCTGTGTTCAGGTATTGCTCAGTTCCCCAAGCAGCTTCTATAGCTAATTAAATTTTGCCTTCCCAATCCAGAGTCCACTGAAGTGTTTGGAAAACTTCACAGCTTAAGTGGGAGTTAAAGACCTTGTAGATCATCAAGTCTAACGATAACCTAGATCCACCAACCATAACCTAATCTACCCGTTCAGTGCTTAAATCATGTCTCTAAGCACCACATGTATATTTCTTTTAAACGCTTCCAGGGATGGTGACTCCACCACCTCCTTGGGCAGCCTGTTCCACTGTCCAACCACTCTTTCAGTAATTATTTCTAATATCCAGCCTAAACCTCCCCTGGTGCAGCTTCAGGCCATTTCCTCTCTGGTCCTGTCATTATTCACTCGGGAGAAGAGGCCAACTCCCACCTCCCTACAACCTCCTTTCAGGTAGTTGTAGAGAGCAATGAGGTGTCCCCTCAGCCTCCTCTTCTTCAAACTAAACAATCCCAGGTAGATTCATTTATCTGCTGGTACATATTCTTCATTCAAAAAGATGTCAAGTAAATCCAGGTGGATGCAACTCCCATGCTGGGTAAAACAATGTCACCTGCATAGCCCTGTTGGAGGACATGAGGGTCAGAGCCACACCTAGATTGGGTCATAAAGTGTGACCTGTGCACTAGTTCCTTGAGTGACGGAAATGTTTTATATGTGTATTATTACTTCAAAATGAAGGTGAAAAATTAAATTCTCCCAACAAAAGTAACTTGCCTTGAGTGAAATGGTGTGTAAATCATAACTGGATGTGGGAATTGCAAAATTTCAGGCTACAGTTTTAATGTTTGTTAATTAATGTGTAAATATTCACTGCCTGGGAACTCTTGCAGGAAGAAAACAGAATTAAATAACCTTTTTAGTTGGAAAAGGCCTTTAAGATCATCAAGTCCAACCATTAGCCTAGCACTGCCAAGTCCTCCTAAACCACAGCCCTAAGCACCACATCTACCTGACTTTTAAACATCTCCAGGGACAGTGACACATCCATTTCTCTCAACAGCGTGTTCCAGTGATTGACCACCTTTTCAGTGCAGAAATTTCCCCTCATATCCACTATAAATCTACCTGGCACAACTTGGGGCCATTTCCTCTTGTTCTATCACCTGTAACATGGGAGAAGAGATCAACCCCCAACTTGCTACAATCTCCTTTCAGATAGAGGTCTTCCCTCAGCCTCCTTTTCTCCAGGATAAGCCACCCCAGTTCCCTCAGCTGCTCTTCATTAAGACTTGTCCTCCAGCTGCTTCAACAGCTCTGTTGCCCTTCTCTGGACTCTCTCCAGCATCTCAGTGTCCTTGCAGTGAGGGGCCCAAAACTGAACACAGTATCAAGCTGCAGCCTCATCAGTGCCAAGTAAAGGGGCACAATCACTCCCCTACTCCTGCTGGCCACACTATGCCTGATACAAGCCAGAATGCCATGGCCTTCTTGGCTACTTGGGCACACTGCTGTCTCCTATTCAGCTGGCTGTTGGCCAGCATCCTCAGATCCTTTTCCACCAGACAGCTCTCTGTAGCACTGCCTGGGGTTGTTGTGGCCCATGTGCAGGACCTGGCACTTGGCCTTGTTGAATCTCAACAATTGACCTCAGTGCATTGATCCAGCTTGTCCAGGTTCCTCTGTAGAGCCTTCTTACCCTCTAGCAAATCAACACTCCCACCCAACTTGGTGTCATCTGCAAACTTAGTGAGAGTGCACTAAATCCCTCATTCAGATCATTGATAAATGTATTAAAGAGAACTGGTCCCAGCACTGAGACCTGGAGAACACCACTTGTGACTGCCTGCCAGCTGGATTTAACTCCATCTACCATAATTCTTCAGGCCCAGCCATCCAAACAGTTTCTTACCCAGCAAAGCATACATCCATCCGAGCCATGAGCAGCCAGTTTCTCCAAGAGAATGCCATGGGAAACTGTGTTAAAGGCTTTACTAAAGTCTCACTAGGCAACATCTACAGCCTTTCCCTCAACCACTAGAGAACAGGCACTTATTCTTTGTACCACCCAGCTACATGTAATCTGCACAGGTTTTTTTTTTCCTACACTTTTTAATTATCATCCTATTTTGATTTAATGTGGAACATGGAATAAAAAGGGAAGCACGTTAATTTGGAGTTTTTTTAAGGCATTTTCTTTCACTGGTGCTTTTCTTCACCTCTCACCAAAGCTGCTCTTTGACTGCTGGTCCTAATGAAGGTCAATATCCTGTGTGTGGTGCACCTCTCCACTGCAAAAATTTAGCTCCCTGTGTGTTCTCTATCTCTCCTTCCACAGTAGCAGCTTCTGTACATTATTTTATCTTTTTCTTTTTTGGCTTGCAGAAAAGCAAAAAACATATAGGTAGTTCATATGACCAATGCATTTGCTAGTTATCCAGCTGTTGACCCAAATCTGGGCTCTTCACACAATGTGCAAAGATCCAATCAAACACCCTGAGTCGAGGTATTTGTCTTAATTTCTAGCCTGGAGAGTCAGGTGCCAGGCATCTAACACCAGCCAGCACACCTTTCAAGAAGCAAAAAGGGTTTTATATACAAAATAGCAACAAGGAGAAACTACACAAAACACAGGATTGGTTAACAATGATTAATCTACTGGTCCTAACTGCACAGGTGCATCTAAGCTCATGTCTAAAACATTTAGGGAGGTTACCTGATTAGCATGCTGGTTATTCACAAGTGGGTATTTTAGTTTTACAATCATCTAAGGCTACTAAAGGATACACATTTATCCTGACTTTATTCCAAAATCATGCACACATTTCTAAGTTGGCAACCATAAAACCCTGAACCTGAAATTTACAGCTTTCTTACCTTGGGATTCTCTGTGCTGCCTTTGTTTGATACTAGGCTCTTTCCAAGGAGTCAGAATGACCAAGGTCAGACACTCCTCTCACAGTGACACAAGTCTGCTCCATTTGGAATCTTTGTGACTCTTAACCCTTTTATTTCAACATCACAGCCAGCTGCTCTCAGACACAAAACAGGATTGAGATTTCCCTGCCTTTTCCTCACTCCTTTAGTTAGTAGAGCTGATTTCCTCTAACCAGTGGCTGATTTTCATGGAAGAGCAGGAACTGTCTATCAAATGTGGCTGCAATCAACAGACTGGTTCAAAGGTTATGACAAGAGCACAGAAAAGGCAGTCCCATGTGCTGTGCCACTTCATTACAGGTTCTGGGAACAGAAAAAAAAAATAAAAAAATCTTGGCTATTCAGAGATACAGCCTTTTAAGATTAAAGCAGGAGCAATGTGTGCAAGAACATAATCTCTGAAATGCTGAGTCGTTGGCTTCCCCCATTTTAAAAGGGGAAGCATTTCCCTGTCATGTCTTTGCCAATACCAATTATTGTTCTATCACATGAGAAGAAAGGGAAAGACTCTGTTCTCAGAATACTGGTTCCTCTTTCAACACACCCAGACATGTGAGGAAAGCATTTGTCCTGACCACTTTGTTTGTTTAACTTTTATTTGATGTGAAACTTTGTACTAGTTTCCACATCTGTTTTAAGTTCCCGTGAGCCCATCTTTAACCTATTGTCTAGATCATCATCAAAAACCCTTTATATAATGAATTAAATATATATATATATATAAAGATTTCAGATGCACTATGGCTATCATGAAATAGGAATGAATTCCCCAACTCTGCATCTCAATAGGTCAACAAAGTTTCCAAAAAGTCCAGAGACCTGCACAGGGCTCAATCCTCAATCACACATTTTCCAGTTGTCCGAGGGCATCAAGCTGACAGAGCTGTTAGACTAAACCATTGCTAATGTTACTCTAATGCAGATAACTTGATAAATCAAGTTAGGTCATATGCCACACAGGACAGAAATGAAGGTTCCAATGCAGAATATATTTAATAAAGAACATCCTGAAAGGGTAGAGAGACATTCTGTGAAATCCTGGTTCAATGATCTGGTGCCAGAAGTCTCATTTCATGTAGAGTTAACCTTGTAGTCAGGGCATCTTCCAACACTGATGTCCACTTGTCTGCTCGCCCTTCAGCCATGTGAGCATCTAGCATGTGCATTTGTGTGGTGCAGCACAGCATTGTTGGTATTCCTGATAATAAAGGAATTCAAAAGTAACGTTAAATAATGATTTGACCACATGGAGGTCTGTGGTTCATTATTCACTCCTGACTTCTCACTCCAGGTTAAATTGTGCAGCTGCATTGCCCTTGTCTTAAATGAGGGTTCTGGCATGCAGACACTGCAGTGAAGGGAGAGACAGAAGTAAGCAGACAGACATGGTGTGCATAGTGACAGAGGAAGCAGGAGAGGGGTAAGGCCTGTACCTAACGTGTACAACACCCGAGAAATCCCGGCAAGGCTGTTCAACGTACCACGGGGAGAAGAGGGGAAGCTGTC